GCCTGGAGGTTACGAGAAAGTCAAAGGTCGCTGACCTTTGACTCGACAATTACAGCGCGACAGTTAAGGACACACAACTGACTCGCTACAGAGCAGTTGCCCGAGTCGCACTGTATCGAACCGCAACAGCAATACAGTTATCTACATATCTATTCGTATTCCCTGTACTCTTATATAAATCCTTGTATTTGCTTGTTTAATTCAATCAACTTTGCTCTCACACACCAGTGCAAGGTCGGTTCAAATTCTTCACTAAACGCTTCTGCTATTACAACTACTTCACCTAAAGTTATCCCTTGCAAAGATCCTAAGGGGCTATCTCAGCCCAACAGTTTGTACGAAGGTTGTAAATAAAAAGTGAAAAAAACAACAGACATTCTTGTCTATACAGCAAGGTGCGCTTATAATAAGTAAGGTTATTTTAGAGGGTGCGCTTCTAATTGAGGATCGGCCATAAGCGCATTGCTCCAGATAGAAGCGCATGCGCTTAACACAGGCCTGCGGTTATATCCGGGGCGATACGGTAAGAGTTTTCATTGTCACTCTGCTCGAACATCCCTCACTGGTTTACCTTTTCCCACTCGTGCTCATTAGTAATGAAACAAGAAAAGGCCACCCTGGTCTGGCTTTTTAACAACCTCTCTGCAAAGTTTCTCCTGCATCCTGGTAGCTTTTGCTGGCGTACAATGTCACATCACATTTGGTACTGCTGTAAGAGTTGGAGAGTACAATACAATGTAACTGCCCATGATCAGTGGACAACGCCAATTACCGACAAAGATACAAGTCTCAACATCCTCAAATTGAACAATTGATGGTTATGTTACTTCTTGTGTCGTCTCAATTGCGTTTTGAGAACAAACTGGAATATGTCGGCCCAGACGTCTGGAAGTCCAGGTAAACACCAGTGGGTGCAGTCCCACTTTGTTTTGCTGTTTGTCTTGGCTCCATAGAAACGCTTCACATGTGCATCTGGGCGGAAGAGGGAAATGCGGGTGATGTCGATTATTCGAAAGGGTGACTTCTTCAGCTCCCTCACCTCCAGCCTTCTGAAAGCTGTGGAGATGTCACGGGCCACCATGGTTTGAACTCTCTTCGTAGATATGGGTGTGGTGTGGCGGCATGTGGGGGGGTTACCTCTCGAGTAGTGGGAGGGGGAGTAGGTGAGCCACATGGGCACGCCACGGTACCTCTGCTCCACGGTCACGAACCGCTTCACACTGCGGATGGCGGCGCGGTACGCGCTCATGCCGCTCAACCGCACCACCCGGTTGTTGGCCACATACACGGTGGAGCGCACGGCCTCGGCGCCCTGCTTGTCCAGGAACCAGTGGCCCGACATGAACACAGCCAGGTCCACGTGCTGCAGCACGGCCGCCCACTGGTCGTCCATGTGGTCCAGCCACACCACGTAGCGGCTGCCATCGCCCGGCCGCAGCCCATACTGCCTGAACGCCCAGTCCTGGTTGCTGTAGCGCACCAGGTACGGCGCCACCACGGCCACGAGCTTGAGGTTGTAGCGCGGCACGGCCAGCCCCGACACGAGTGTGCCGCCCAGCCACCCCGACCACGGCTCCACGTGGTCGTCCACGCCCAGCTCGCACGCGATGGCCTGCTGCACGTTGCGCGAAAACGAGTCGCCCACGAACGCCACCACCTGCTCGCGCAAATGCACGCACGGAGGGCGCACATCAGACGCGGCACACAGGGTTTGTGACAGACAGGTGGCGGAAGCAGGGCGAACAGGTAGAGGGGGGGAGAAAAGGACAGGGCGAGGGTGATCAAGTGAATTGGTAGGTTGAGCGCGGGAGCGCATGATGGGGCGAGGCGGCTGACCTTGTTGCGGAGCAAGGCTTTGAAGTAGGCGCGGTCGAAGCGTCGGACGGTGCACGCGCTGGGCTTCCACGCGTACTTGGTGTACCCCGTGTCGCGCCGCCCGTTCCGCTCGCAGTTGAAGGCCGAGCGGATCCACGCGCACTTGCTGCTGTACGACCGGCGCCGCGCGTCGTACACCCACCGCCCCATCGTGTAGTCGCACGCTGCGCGTCATGCGACAAACACGCCCTCCCCACGGCGCAATCGCGTTGCAGGCGCACAAGCACAGGGGCAGGGTGCGACACAAGCGTAATCAGTGAATACAAAACACTCTATCGGCGGGGGCTGCGGCGCGGTGCGGCGGGAAGCGGCAGCAAGGCAGCAGGGGCCCACCTAGGGAACGGCGGGTCGCAGTAACAGCGCATTAAGGCACGGGGAAGCGCGACAAGGAAGGGGGGAAAACAGGGGAGAAAAATGCGCAGCACGGCACAGGGGGAACGGGGACGCGCAGCACGGCACAGGAGGGACGCGGGATGCGTTGCAAGGCACAGGGGGGACGGGGATGCGTTGCAAGGCACAGGGGGGACGGGGATGCGTTGCAAGGCACCGGGAGTACGGGGATGTGCAGCAAGGCACAGCGGGGACAGAGAAGCTCAGTCGCAGCTATTGGGATGTGGTTGGGGCGAAACGGATGCGCGATGCGCGGATCGGGAAGGCGAAACATTCACGCGCAGTCGCTTACCAGCGAGTCGACGGCGATTGGTGGAGTTAAGGGGCGGCAGGCGGTCCAGGTCATCCTGCCACGTGGACACCCGCGATATGTTTTCCACACGCGTGGCGGCATTCCAGCTTGCAAGCCCTGGCACGGACTCGAAGCGCGTGACGTGAGCAGGCAGCAGCGCGGAGGCTGCCATGGTTCCTGGTGGGCAGCAAGCAAGGCACGCGTGAGTCACAGCGCCTGCGACGGGAGCTAGAAGAAATCTCTCTGACGTATTAACAATTCCTAAAATTGAGGGCTCGGCAGCGTGGACACTGCATGCTGGTGGCGCTGCTGGTGCCATGCACGAGCAGCCTCACCGCAGAGAAGCACAACGAGCCGCACACATCCTCGCGTCCATACTCCGCCTATCGTCATCCACCGCGTTGCTCGCTCTGCGCCACCCGTCGGATCCTACGCTCGCTAGTGTCGGTACCGTGTACCACTGCTCGACTCGACTGCGTTACAGGACGAGGTACCCACACCAAACGACCTACAAAGGTTATCGTCCTCTTAGTGGATTAGCCGCAATCGCAAAGGTGTTGCACAGGGCATAGGCGGAGAGGTTGTGCAGAGAGGCCAAGGGAGAGGGGAGCAGAAAGCAAGGGATGATACTCGAGGGGGTGTTGGAGCAGTGGCATGAGGAAGGAGCTACTCCTTAGGCTACCATTCAACTGAGAGCGAGTGAGCACAGGCAGTCGGTCTCCCAAAGTTCTTCCATCCCGCCTGCCCTGCCTGCTGGAATCCCGTCACTTCGCAACGCATCGCATTCGCGTCTGTTTCGCGACCCGCCCAGGCTGGGACAGTCCCCCCAACCAAGCGGTGTGAGGCCCGCCACCACTTCGCGAACCAAACCACTCCAACGGACTTCGGCCATTATCTCCGATACTCAGATTTCGCCTGAGCGCGTTCTCATATGTAATCAACCTGGAGTTTCTCAACGTTGATTGGTCGTCGCTTTTTAGTCACATTTCTCACGCTGGTCGAACTCACTAGGAAGTGACAAAAACAAAACCATCCAGTCACTAGGATATATGTACGGAAATTAAGGTAGTAAGAGAATGAAGCCCATATAATTCACTTGGTAGTGCTCAGTAGCGCAACCGACCTCTAAACAACGCTAGCGAAAGCACTGGACGATGCTACCGAGACCTATTCGGGCATGGCAGAAAACATCAAAACCCCTAGGGACCTGGATGCATTTTCGAGAGGGGTCAACCCTAAACACGGAAATAGGTATTATTTTTAGGGTTGATGCCTCCCGAGTCGCATCCCTTCCCGAGGTGGGTTTTTTTTTTGTCAAGTGGGTTGCAATATGTTTTCCAAAATATTGGGAGGCTTTCGGTATTTAGGGCTGATCCTTCCCGGAAATCATATAGGTTCGCTACGGGCATTATATTTTTTTTGCAGGTGCTTGAATTCCTTTTTTTGAGTGACTGTACACAAATACGAAACAGAATAGATTCATACTATATCGAGAAAATGCGCTTCTGTTAGTGATTACACCTGAGAATGAGCTCAGGCGAAATCTGAGTATCGGAGATAAAGGCCGAACGGACTTTCGCAAATGCGTCAGATGTGTCAGGTTCTACTGTGCATGTTGGCTGACCCACAACAGAGTGTCCACAATTTGGTTCCAAATAAATGATTTGTTATAGCTAGCAAACACAATACTTTGTATGATGTGGGTATGCAGGTGTTTCATAAGTATGACATATGATTACCGGTTCCGTGACTAAGTCGGAGTTTCGGACCACCAGATGAGAGGAATTTACACGGTAGAATAAAAAAAGGCGCATTCAGTGGTTCCATTCCATTGCACCTGACCGACAGCCATAACGCCTGGTGTACAGTAGGTACCGTAATCCTTTCTATTCTAGCCATTCAACAGCATACGGTAAATCTTTCTGTACCTGGGCAGTAGCGTTAACCCCATACTGTCTAACAAGATGCTTTACAGTGAATGTTTGGGCATTGTACGGAATGTTTCTTAAAACCGCTTGAGCAATATTGTGATGGTGAATGCATTTGACATCATGACTCCACAATACGTGGCACTATATGAATCTCAGCCCACACGAGAAGCAGGTCAACTTAACACCAACTGGCTTGGGAGCCAGGTGAAACTTGTTCTCCAAATGGACTAGTTTGACCCGCTTGCTCTCCATCTTGCGTTCCAGGACCTTTCCCCTTCGCTCCAGTGCTGCCATGCGGGCCACCACCCTCTCTGTGCGTTCAATCAGCACACGCGCCTCGTCAGCCTCGCCCTCCACCGCTGCCAGCATCTCGCTCACCTCTGCACGCTTGTCCTTGCCCTGCCGCCCCATCACCGCTGCCGCTCGCAGCCCCATCTCCGCAGCCAGTGCTGCGCGCTCTCTCAGCCCGTGCATGGCGATCAGCAGCACGTCCCGCCTCGCCTGCAGCTCCTTCAGCCCCACCGCCGGCCACTCCTCTTCCTCTCCACTCGCCTCACTGCCGCCTTGCATGCGCCCCCTGCTCCTGCTCCTGCTCCTGCGGCGCATGCCGGCCCGCCTGAGCTGCCAGTGGACACCGTTGCCACCACCCGCTGCTCACCACCCGCCTCCACCACTGCTGCGCCCGCCCCCTCCTCAGCGCCTTCCGGGCTGCCCTCCTCCTGGGCACCCCCCTCCTCATGCCTTGACGCTGCACCTGCCTCTCCTCCGTGCTGCACCTCTGCCGCATCCCCGCCCACAGCCTCAATCTCCGCCACTGCACACCTTCTCTGCAGCCCAGTCCCTGCAATGTCCCCACAGCCATCTGCCCCCCTGGCAGCTTGGGAGCTGCCAACCAGGGCAGCGGGGGCAGCAGAGCTCGCGGCGGGCAGCAGAAGGTGCAGGCGGCGGTCGAGGTGGGTGCAGCGGTTCTCAGCGGCGCGGGCGCGGTGCACGGCGAGTTCGAGGGCGCGGTCCTTGACGTCCACCACCTTGCTCGTCAGCTCCAGACACACGCGCAGCTGCAGCACGCGCTGCCGCAGCCGACCCTGCCATGCCACCACGCGCTGTGCCTTTCCCACCTGCGCCTGCAGCGCCCGCACCAGCTCCTCCAGCCGCCCGTTCTCCTCCAGCACCTCCTCCACCTCCCTCTCGCGCTGCTCCTGCTCGCCCTCCTCGCCCGCGCTTCCCCCATAGTACTGCGCCACTGCCTGCTTGGCGCGACTCCACGCACCCTGCCGGGGCACCGGCAGCGTGAACGCCGACTCGTACTCGCCGCCACGCCGCTCCTCCACGCCGCAAGCGCTGCCAGCGTCTGCAGCACGCTGCTCACTGCCACCGCTCTGATGCCACTGCTCCGGTGGACCTTCAGGCTCTTCCCCGCCCACCGCACTCGGCCACGCTCTCCCTTCAAATGCACCACCATGCGCACCCCCCTCCCCCCATTCCCTGCTGCCCGCCTGCATCTCTGCGCCCCTGCTCCCCTTGACCCCCGTGCACCGGCTGCAGCCTGCCCACCGCCCACCCCACTGGCTCCACCCCGCTCGTCACGCGCACACCTTGCTTCCTCTGCATCCTCTGCAGCACCACCACCGCCACCACCGCCGTCACGAGCGCTGCCAGGATGCGGGGCTTGAGATTCCTTGGCTTGAAGCACGTCTCGCCGCACCACTCCTCCTGGAACCCGCTGCACTGACCTTCCCTTCACCAACAACTCCACCCTCCCCCTTTGCTGCCTGCAATCTGCTGCATTCCTGCTCCACGCGCCCCCTGCCCGCCGCCGTGCTGCCATGCGCGCCCTCCTGGGCGGCGAGCAGGCGCGCCTCGGAGCGCTTCGTTGTCGGCGTGCAGGCGGTCGATCAGCGCCGCTGCCAGCTCCTCGCGATGCGCGGCGGCGTCCGCCTGCCCCTGCAGCCGCGCCAGCTCGCCATCCACTCGCTGCATCGCCTCCTCCTGCTCCCTCTCCCGCTCCGCCGCCGCCCGCAGCGCCCCCGCCAGCTGCCCGCGCAGCACAGCCACGGCGCTGCTGCCCTCCTCCCGCGCGCCCTGCGCACACGCCTCCGCCACACACAGCGCTGCAGGTATGATGCGCGAGGGGGCGGGGAGGGGGGAAGAACGGGCGTGGGAGGGATGAGCAGTCAAGGAGGGCAGGTGCGTGGTGGCAGCGTGAGGGCACGGGGGGTTAGCGCGTGGTGGGCGGGTGAGGAGGCAAGGCATGGCGCAGGTGAGGGTGAAGGCGCTGACCGTTGCGTGCGTCGGCCAGTCGGTGGCGCAGGTGGCGCAGCTCGTGCTCCAAACTCCACCTCCTGCCGCACACACGCAAGGGGATGCGCGCACACACAGGGAGTTGGGCGCACGCAGACGGATAAGGGGATGGACGCACACAGACGGACAAGGGACGGGCGCACACAGGCAAGGGGGATCGACGCTTTAGTCAGGGGGATGGGCGCACACAGGCAAGGGGGATCGACGCTTTAGTCAGGGGGATGGGCGCACACAGGCAAGGGGGATCGACGCTTTAGTCAGGGGGATGGGCGCACACAGGCAAGGGGGATCGACGCTTTAGTCAGGGGGATGGGCGCACACAGGCAAGGGGGATCGACGCTTTAGTCAGGGGGATGGGCGCACATAGGGCAAGAGAAATAACGAACGAGGCCAGCGAGGGACGGTGAGGCGCATGTGAGAGGCAAAGGGGGGAAGAGGCACAGCGTGCGCGGATGCGCTAGGAGGGACTGCGCGTCACGCATGCATGACGCCACTGCTTGCACGCGGGCCCTGCGGTGCTCTCCCTGTCCTGCCATGCCATGCCGCACCCACCACCACCCACTCCACGCTCCACAACGCACGGGCTCTGCTACCTTGCCCCCTGCGGATTCCTCCCCCTTTCCCCCCATGCGGCAACCTTTCCCCATGCGGCAACCTTTTCCCCATGCGGCAAACCTTTCCCCATACGGCAACCTTCCCCATGCGGCAACCTTTCCCCATGCGGCAACCTTTCCCCATGCGGCAACCTTTCCCCATGCGGCAACCTTTCCCCATGCGGCAACCTTTCCCCATGCGGCAACCTTTCCCCAAGCGGCAACCTTTCCCCATGCGGCAACCTTTCCCCATGCGGCAACCTTTCCCCATGCGGCAACCTTTCCCCATGCGGCAACCTTTCCCCATGCGGCTACCTTTCCCCATGCGGCAACCTTTCCCCATGCGGCTACCTTTCCCCATGCGACTAACTTTCCCCATGCGGCAACCTTTCCCCCATGCGGCTACCTTTCCCCATGCGACTAACTTTCCCCTGCGGATGCCTCCCCTCTCTTCCTTCCCCTCCCCCCTCACCCGTACCTTTCCCCCTGCGGCTTCCTTTCTTTCCCCCCGCTACCTTCCCCCCTGCGGCTACCATTCTTCCCCCGCGGCTACCTTGCCCCTACCTTGCGCTGCCAGAGCGCCTCCTTGTCGCGGTGCGCGCCGAGCAGCACGGCCACCTCCTCCTCGTGGTACCGCCTCGCGCGCTCCGCCTCGCGCCTCGCCGCCGCCGCCTCGCCTCTCGCCTCCTCCACCTGCCGCTGCGCCTCTTCCCGCGCGCTCCTCGCGCCGGCCAGGCGCTCCTCCTCCAGCGCGCGCTCCGACGCGCGCTGCACGCCCCGCGCGCGGAGGGGTGGGACGCAGGCAGGTGGTGAGGAGGGGTGGAGAGGGTTACAAGGGAAACGGGCGGAGGGGCGAGGCGGTGGGCGAAAGGCAGTCACCGGCGTGATGATCACGG